TTGAGTGAAGTGTCACATATGATTATAAATGACGTTGGTCATATATAATCAACATGTTACATCATGATGGTCATTAGACTAGCAAGCTTGCCACTTTAGCATTCATGTGTGCTTTGTAATGTTCATAAGGGACTAAGTACACGCTAACATGATAAAGGAGTCATTTTTCATTCATTCTTCTAAATAAGATTTGTTGGATCTTAATTAGAGAACCAACATTAGAATGTGCTTTTCATACATTCTCCAACCAAGACTTCTCGTTGGTTCCATCTTAATTAGAGAATTGAGATACATAGTTTGCTTAGTTGTACATGCTATAATCAAAGTAGGAGAAGTGAACGTGATATATCATATTGAATGAGACTTCTAGCCTCCCCCTCGAAATGTGGTCTAAAACCACAATTTTGATGAGGTCTCATTAATTACACTTCTCTTGCATACTCAATTATAACATAGCATCTAATCTTTACAAAAGATTCAATTAGTGAAAACATAATTCGTCTCACCATAAGGTGGGACTAACATTACATAATTGGAGTTGACTTAATAACATATAAGATAACGGCATCTATTTGAGAGACCAAATCAAGGTTTCCCAATAACTAGGAGCATGAACAAAGCATCATCAATAAGATGAAAAATTAAGTCATCTCCAAAAACTAGTGGAATAAATCCAATGGTTTTGACTTTAATCTCCTTTGCATTAGTGATGTGCATGATGGCACATGCGTCCTCTCCCAATGTTTGTCTTATCATCATGATTAACATCCTTCAACCTTAATGGCAGAAAAACATTGGGAGATTCCTTACATGAGACAATGATCTCCACTCTTGATGTGGAAAAGTTATTTACATAAGGTTCTTCTATGCCAAACAGAAGTTTGACATCATTATTATTGCTGGAAAAGAGGAGACAACTTTATGATCATCATAACAAAAAATCATGCATGAACTAACCATGCAATGGCATGAATAAAAACATGCTTAATTTTTATTCTAATTTGTATCACCGTTGGGAAGATAACAAAAAAGAACCTTACTCATTCGTAAATGACACATGAAAAACATAATCAATAAGAATATCATCATATGCCATTAGAACGCTTGCTCATTAAATCTCTAATCAAAACTTCTCGTTGGTTCCATTTTGACTAGGGAGATGTAAAATCTCGTAATGACCAACAAGAACTACGACTAAATTAATTGCCATCATTAACATAAAGTAACATCATAATATAATCGTGTGTGCCATGAGGCACTATGATGCCTTTTGACACTAAATCTCACAACGATAATATAAATATTGAACTTGAGTGTCAAAATTATCGTTAGAATTGTCAATGACATACAATGAAAATGACATTTGAATTAACATATAAATAGGAATGTCCCTCCCACCGAGTAATCATTAAAGAGGGCATTCAGAGTGAAAATGTCATAAATATAAATGCCATTGCCAACATTAAAATTGACATTAACATTATCGTCAGGTTATCATAAGATTAAAATAATAAAATTTGGACATAAAGTTACATAATAATTCATGAAATAATAATATTTGACAAATTATGATGGTCAAATGAATGGCAACATGTACTTTGGATAGATTTCATAAAAATGTCATATAATGACTAGGATATTGCATATCACATAAAATTCTTTAAACTACATTTATTTGGTTAGAAAATCAATCATAACTTTATCAATACTATTTTGGTTAATTATGCTTATTTCAACAGTGCATATCTTAATTTCAATATAAAATGAATCAACATAAACCTTAGTATTGTTCAAGGAGCACACATGCCCAACATTATTAGATGCATAGTGCGACGCGGAAAACCGCACCACGCATTAGCATTTTTGTTGAGGTGACTTTAGTCCGTTAGTGATGATCACATCATTACGGAATAACATTATCATAAAATCAACATAAAATTCATGTTTGATATCAAAAAAAAAATTATTCATAAATTTTTTAAGTTGAACATAACTGTGCAAAAAAAAAATATCATCTCATAATTCAACATTGACATGCTATTAAAGAGAGATTACCACTGAAAGTAAATGACATCATAATCTCATATCATATTTCTCCTTTAAAATCAGGGCATTTTCTAACTTAATTAGTACATAAGACATAACTTAAAAAAAACTGCATAAAGGGCACTTTTAAAAAAAATGAATAATTCATTATAGATATTGGCCACATCATTCTTAGATTAAATATCAAATTTAAAAAAAAATCCTACATCAAATATATTTAAATGATACTCATCATCAAATTTCATGTGTTAAAAGTACCCCAAAAAAGGTTTATTCTGAAAACCTAAAACATAATTTACAACATAATTTTCTAGATATTTTCATTTTAAAGCAGCGCAACACATTTTGAGAATGATCATAATACATAAAAGCACTGAATAAAAGGAAAATGCAAAGAACATTAAATTTTGCCCATGATACCCACGGTAACCTTTCATTGATTTGCCCAGGAGAAAAATTCTCAGGGAAAAAGAAAAATCTCCCGGGGCCTGGACAACTTAGGCCTCAACCACCGGTCAGATTATGCCCTTTATCCACTCGAAAGCCCAGCAGCTAGCCTGGGCGCCGACCTCAGCCGTCTGATTCAGTGGACGGTCCGTATCATCCCAGCCGGAACAAAGCAGGTTGCCGGTCAAACCCTACCTCATTCCCCACTTTCTCCCCGAAATCTCCGCTCGCCTCTATGAGAGAAAACGGCGACCGCTTCGGCGGCGCCGCGCAGCAGAAGCATGGCGGCGTGCCGGCTCCGTTCGCCGGAGAAGCTTACTGCGGACCAACGCCGTGTGCTTCCTCGTCGAACGGTGGCGACCACGCTGCACGCGCATGGACCGGAGGAGCACATCTCGCCGGCGGGCGCCGGCGCAATCTTTGGTGGTGACGGCGGCGAGCAAACGCACGGAGCGTTGGCTGCGCGCGTCCATTAGAGAGGCGATCGGCCAGGCGCATCATTCCGGCCGTCGTCCCGAAGGACGACGTCCTTCTTGCCATGGTGAGTACGCACGTTGGCCGGCAACAACAACACAAGTCCCAGTCCCTCTTTCCTTTTTTAATGTTGATCTGGGCTGGGATTTGGGGATTAGGGGAAGATTGCCATTCGGATTTCTTTGATTTCTTGCGATTTCCCCTCCTTCTCACTGCTAATCGAGCCAATACCTTTTTACTTCATATTAACTTGATTCGGATCAAGGCTTTATAACCATGAACATTAACAATTAAAATTTATGTGCTATCAGAAAAACTGCTAGCTACTGATCATAGCATTAACATGACATAGGGGCAAAAATAAGAGATGCACTTGATCAATCAGGACTACCACATCATTAACCGAAAACCATCATCTTAGATCAATTAGGCCATTTAACTTGGAATTAACGTTTGGAAGGCCTAATTTGTGTTCTAGCCAGATTAGATAGGCTCGAGATACCAATGTTAGATAAATTAGCCTTTAGGCTAATCAACGTATGGTCCTAATCTCAGACTAGATCAACAACTTTATGCGGAAGCGTACAAACTTACAGGTACTTGGCGATATCTGGATGCAGCCCCTGTGTAGCCCACGGCTGCACCTTTGTGTCTCTAGTGGCGAGGAGATGTTGGGGAAGAAGCAGCACGGTGGCGAGGATGACAGCAGGGTTGCCGCAGGCACAGCTCTGCGGTGGCCGGTGGTGGAGATGGCCTTCACATACCTCAGCACATATTCAGGATCGGCAGTTAGGTGGTTTAGATCGATATGTTGTTATCCATAATGAAAACCCCCTTTTCCTTATATATGTGTGTGTGCTGGGTACATGGGACCAAAACCAAACGTGTGGATGTGTGGTGTGCTTCCGATCATTGCACACCTGGGGTCAAAAGGCTCCCCTTTTCTCTCACGGTTTGTTTCAACCGTAGATTAATTCCAACAAAAGTTACTCAAACTATGCAAAGCTTGACTTTGACCAAACCTTATATGCAGACAAAAAAGAAACGGAGGGAGTATAAAATTAGCTCAGAAACAGAGCAGCAGCGGGATGAACAAGGTGATGACCGGTCAAACGGACAGAATCTCACAGCAACTTGAGATAAGACCAGTCAAACCTAGGACAACTTAGTATACAAGTCTGATCTAGACAAGTAATTTGGGACGGAGGAAATAGTAAATGATGCATAGATCTATCCCGTGCACAGGGGAGTTTGTAAACCAATGCGGAACGGGGAAAAGGAGCAACTTTGCTGCCCGGCAAAGCGTGCTGTGCTGCGACACATGCGTCCATGTGATGCCATCTGCCCAACCAACCATCACCAACTGTTACTGTGGTGCAGCGTGCAGAGAACAAGATCCATGGATGGACAACTCCAACCAGACACTGCTGGCATATGTGTACTGCAACTGCAAGCAATAATATGTAAACACTGGAACAGCAAGGTAGTGTGCAACAATCTGTCATCATCAAGCTCAAGGAACCATAATACCATTTGCAGATCGACAGCAACGGCTAGTGAAAGAAGAAGAAAGAAACTAGTGGTGCTCGCATTTCATTTCACATCATGAGACAGGACAAGATCTAGAGCATACTACCACAAATCATGGACTGAAATCAGACACGAGCGACTCCCGAATTGCATTAAGATTTAACACGATAATTAGATGAAGAGCATACCACAAATCATGAACTGAAATCAGACACGAGCAACTTCAGATTACATTAGATTTGAACATGATAGTGAAGACACTGGACACCACTAGTAGAACGCAACAGGGCGTTGCTGCTTGCACATTCCACAGCAATTGTGCCATAGGTTATAGTACCAACCAAGCTATCTCATCAGCAACCACCCTTCCATGAGTTTTCTGCTCCTCAACAACAGCACCCACCAAGAAAGACAGAAGAGCACTACTACACAAGCCTAAAGCAATCATCAAATTAACATGAGAAAAGAACCGATAATCGTACGCAGTAGTACTTGGTTGATCTCTAGCCCTGGAGGTCGGCGTCGTCGTCCTCGAGCTCGTCCTCGTACTCGCCCTCCTCGTCGGCGGTGGCGTCCTGGTACTGCTGGTACTCGGAGACGAGGTCGTTCATGTTGCTCTCGGCCTCGGTGAACTCCATCTCGTCCATGCCCTCGCCCGTGTACCAGTGCAGGAACGCCTTGCGCCGGAACATGGCCGTGAACTGCTCGCTCACGCGCCGGAACATCTCCTGGATGGACGTCGAGTTGCCGATGAAGGTGGAGGCCATCGTGAGGCCCGTGGGCGGGATGTCGCACACCGTCGACTTTACGTTGTTGGGGATCCACTCCACGAAGTAGCTCGAGTTCTTGTTCTGCACGTTCAGCATCTGCTCGTCCACCTCCTTGGTGCTCATCTTGCCCCGGAACATGGCCGAGGCCGTCAGGTACCGCCCGTGGCGCGGGTCGGCCGCGCACATCATGTTCTTGGCGTCCCACATCTGCTGGGTGAGCTCCGGCACGGTGAGCGCGCGGTACTGCTGGCTGCCGCGCGAGGTGAGCGGCGCGAAGCCCACCATGAAGAAGTGCAGCCGCGGGAACGGGATGAGGTTCACGGCCAGCTTGCGCAGGTCCGAGTTGAGCTGCCCCGGGAAGCGCAGGCAGCAGGTGACCCCGCTCATGGTGGCCGAGATGAGGTGGTTCAGGTCGCCGACTGTTTATTCATTGTTTGATTCTTGAGGTCAGCAATCATCAAACGACAAGAACGCAAATGCTACAGAAATGGAGGAATGCTTCTTACAGCTCGGGGTGGTGAGCTTGAGGGTGCGGAAGCAGATGTCGTAGAGCGCCTCGTTGTCGAGCACCATGCACTCGTCGGCGTTCTCGACGAGCTGGTGCACGGAGAGGGTGGCGTTGTAGGGCTCGACGACGGTGTCGGAGACCTTGGGCGAGGGGAAGACGGAGAAGGTGAGCATCATGCGGTCCGGGTACTCCTCCCGGATCTTGGAGATGAGCAGCGTGCCCATGCCGGACCCGGTGCCGCCGCCCAGCGAGTGGCACACCTGGAAACCTGCCATGCCCGCACAGATCCGTCAGCCACCATTTCTCATTTCTCTACCGCCCCAGATCTACGCCGCCGGCGCGGAGGACGGACGAACGGAACAGAGGAACGGAGAAAGGGGAAGAAGAAAAGAAAGCAGAGACCTTGGAGGCAGTCGCAGTTCTCGGCCTCCTTGCGGACGACGTCGAGGACGGAGTCGATGAGCTCGGCGCCCTCGGTGTAGTGGCCCTTGGCCCAGTTGTTGCCGGCGCCGGACTGGCCGAAGACGAAGTTGTCGGGGCGGAAGATGCCGCCGTAGGGGCCGGAGCGGACGGAGTCCATGGTCCCCGGCTCGAGGTCCATGAGCACGGCGCGCGGCACGAAGCGGCCGCAGGAGGCCTCGTTGTAGTAGACGTTGACGCGCTCGAGCTGCAGGTCGGTGTCGCCGGCGTAGCGGCCGGTGGGGTCGATCCCGTGCTCCGCGCACACCACCTCCCAGAACTTGGCCCCGATCTGGTTCCCGCACTGCCCGCCCTGGATGTGCAGGATCTCCCTCATCTCCCCTTTCCTTCCCTTCCCTTCCCTTCCCTTCGGAGGACGGACGGCGGCGAGGTGCGGTGCGGCGGCGCCGGTGGGGGGTGGGGGGTTGGGGAATTGGAGCAAGAGGGGGATGGCGTTAGTGGGGTGGTAGGGTTTGGTGGGGCGGGATTTATAGAGGGCTGACGGCGTTAGTTTGAGGGGGAGTTCGAATTTTGAAAATTTGGGGGGAGAAAAGAGGCGATTTTGCGTGGGGCGGCCGCCGGCCGGGTCCCTCGTGGTAACGGTTACTTCTTGGTTTGGGTGGACGGTCCCATGGGGAGGTGAAATTTGTTGACTGCTTCATCATGGTGAAACTCAACAAAGTCAAGGGCACTTGAAATCATTTGAACCTGTGGTACGTACCAAATCCCTTTCGTCGATTTTGCACGAAGCAGCGAGGTGAAGTCGACAGGGACAACGCAAATCAAGAGGTGAGGGATTTAGGGGGATGGCTGGGTCGGCGGTTGGGGAAGGGCGGGGCGGCGAGGCGGAGCGCGAGGGTGGAAGGAGGTGGTTACTAATTCGACCAACCAAAAAAAAACAGATTGGAATATGCTAGCAAGTGCTTATTAATTCTACAAACCCAAAAAATTCTCCATCCAGAAAGCATTTGGAATTCTACAAACCCAAAAAAATTCTCCGTCCAGAAAGCATTTGGGATCTGCTAGCAACCAAGTGCTCTCTCCGTTTGTTTTTATAAGACGTTTTGAACAGCTAGCTTTGAACTACTTTGGCGCTGCCTAAATTGTCTAAAACGTCTTATAAAAGTGAACAGAGGAAGTAAAGCATATTGTTATCTGCTAGCCATAGAGAATGTAATCAGATAGCACAGGAGCAAGCTTAGTTTAGCTAGATTTAATCCTCCAATGTTTGGTTAGAAGATGCCCCTGAGGCTATTACCTCCAGGCTTGTAAATGGTTCTACTATTCTCGTGATTGTTTAAAGTAGATTTTGAAGTGTCAAAAGCAAAAGTAAAACATACTTCCTCCATTCCTAAATACTTATCTTTTTAGAGATTTCAAATGAACTAGCATATACGGATGTATATAGACATATTTTAAAATGTAGATTCACTCATTTTGCTCCGTATGTAGTCATTTATTGAAATCTCTAGAAAGACAAATATTTAGGAACGGAGGGAGTAATATGTTCAGCAGACAATCATACGAGTACAACACAGAATGATTTAGAACATCTACATCCGGACGCCTCAAACCAGTCTCAAACGTCTGGCCAGGTGGACCGGTCATCTACAAGTAAAAAAAATGACACACCCGGACGCCAAAAATCGGCCTCAAATGCTCGGGCTGTCTGGCGCCCATCATATCCAGCCGAAATGTAGGGTGGATATGGGACAACCCAAATATAGGGCGGATATGGGGCAACCCAAAAGTAGGGTGGATATGGGACGGCTCGGGCGCGCCTGCCATGTCAGCGCGACCCACTACCGCCCCCAGTCCGTCCCCACAAAATAACGTAATCCGGAAACCCTACCCTCACTTCGATCCGCTCAAACTCCATCTCTTCTCCTCCCTTCTCCGATTCAATCCAATCTAGTCGCCAACAAGCATGTCGAGCTCCGGCAGCCGCTTTGACGATGTCATCGATGTCGACGAGGAGCCGGCCCTCCGCATTGCGCTAGATCGGTCACGGGTGGAAATGGGGGCAGTTCGGGATCTGCTTTGCCGCTGCTCGCCCGCCAGCGCAGCGCGGACGTCGGAGCTGGTCCATCTTGGCCCGCATGCAGCTCCACGAGGGCTGCTCAATCCGTGTCTCCCCTCCATCGTCCACGTGCCCCACCGGCCGCTGCTCCGCAAGGGTAGCGGTGGGTTCTAGTGCCCGCTCCACTGCCCTCGCGGACATGCATGTCGGAATAGGAGGTATGCGCCGCACGCCGCGAGAGGCGGCGGGTAAGGGGTGGGGGAGGTGGTGGAGCAATCCATTTGCCACTGCCAGGGACGCCGAACGAGGAGGAGCGGCTCCTTGCTTTGTTCTACAGCCGGTCACTTATGATGGCACAGACGGACTCTCGTCGGCTCCGGAGGAAGAACGCCAAGGCGCTCCGGCTAGCCATTGAGCAATCTGAACGCAAGGCCACAGAGGCAGTGACAGAGACGACGAGGGTGTCCAAGCTCAAGCGGCAACAGGACCGGGTCATCTGGCGTATGAAAGGCTTCATCGCCATCTCCAATTCTTCCTCTGACGATGACAACCACGACTTCGACTCTGATGATCCACCACCTATCGCGAACGCCTACAGATGGGCTGACAATCGGAAGGGCAAAGAGTCGAGGAGGAAGTGGTGGAGCTCCACCATCTCTGTCTTTAATTTTAAGTTCTGGTAATTCTACTTAAAACTTGACCATCGTTTATGTGGATATGTGAACTTTGACGACCTTTTGGTGATCGAATGTGCATTTCTATGTTCGATTCTATGTCCGTTTGATGATCTATGTTGTTTAGTTCTATGTTGCATGTTTTAGTATAGATATAGGGTACCGAATATGAAATACATGGATGGGGACGACAGAAATTGAGGAGTGCCTGCGGACGCGCCGGGTGCGTCCGCAGGCATTTAAGAGCATCTACAGGCGGCAAATCCGACCCCTCAAACGCTCGGACGGTGACCAGTTACGCCTCAAATATTTGATTCTACAATCAGATACCTCAAATCCATATTATTACATGCAACGTAAACCGATCTTTAAGCGGAGCTCGTCCGGCTTCGTCGTGCCCGTGTCCGGCGACCAGATGCGCTCCACAGAGTGTTGGTCCAGTTGCTAGCAAGGTGGAGTAGGGTATGGGACATGAGCTGGCTCACGAGACTCAAGGCGTCTTTGTCTCCCATGTCCTACTCTTCATCGTCGGAGCCTAGAGCCCGAAGCCCAAACGGTGCCAATGGACGTCTGATCTATGATAGATTAGTCCTGGGACAAGCTGGCGACATCCACCACCATGCGGCGGCTCCCAGACTGGTGCACCATAAGGGGTGCCAGAGAATGCGACTTCGCCTCGCCGATGTCCACCTCCACGATGGCCGCCGCCGCCTCCCGCGCCCGCTACCTCGCACGGCGGGCATGCCGCCATGTTTGTGTCGGACGGCGTCCATGGTGCATCCATGGCTCGTCGCGCCAACGGACGGGTTGCGTGTCCGCCATCGCATTCGGACGCCATACAAACCGCACCACCTCCCGTGAGCGCACTGATGTCACACCTATCGTCGGATCCATGCGCCATTTGGACGGATGCAATGAATTCCCGACAGAAGGAGTCCGAGCGCTGCCTCGCACGGGCCTCCTCCCCAGAGCGGCAGAGCACAAGCTGGACGGCCATCTCCTCCTCGAGGCCGCGTGGGATGAGCTCGGACTCGACGGAACTGGAGGTGTAGGTCTCGGATCCGCTGCTCGCCATGCCGTAGAAAGCTGGAGATCGCCGGACGGAAGTTTGAGTGGCAGAAAAAAGTGAAGGGAAGTGGAGTCAAGTGGCTAGGGTTTGGTCCGTCGGGTGGATGGGGAGCAATATATGTGGGGTCGGGTGGACCAACATGGGTCGGAGACGACGTAGAGCCCGGGCGTCTCATATCTGCCCCAGATTTAGGCTGGACATAAGGGGTGTCGGTCAGTCCAGACGTTTGAGGCCCGTTTGAGTCATCCGTCTTCTTGTGCCGCGACCGCCGGCCCCATGTGCAAGTGCAACTGCTTATCTGCACGGCCAGCTGCATGCATGCTCTGCCTCGCCTCATATTTTGGCTGGCTGGCGGAGATGTTCCTCACGCCACGCATCAAACACTTCACGTGCCTGTTCGGTCCATCTCCGACGATGAGCTGAAAGAAACCAGGCAAGAAAAAGCTGACAAGATCATCCATCATATTCATTCATGCACAAGCCGATCGAGTGACGAATCCCGGATCACGTTCAGCAGCACGATGCCGGCCCTTTTGCTGCAGCTGATTTCCCGCCCTTTTTCTAGTGGTACGCTGCTGGTTAATCAAATGGCTGATTTGTTTTAACAAAGTATAATAGTAGATGTTTACATACATTTGTCTTTATGAATTGGCATACAACCGACCTCTATGCGCACATACGAGATATTGAGCCCGCACAACATGTTGAGATGGACGGAGTCATCATAGGCATCTCGAGGTTGACGGGACGTCTCCTCTCACCGAAGAAACATCGCCAGAAAGGATGAAATAACTCTACAAAAATGCGAACGTCGGTGCCATTGTACCAAGTTTAGAACTTAAACCATGGTGGACTGGTTCCACCACAAGGAACCTAACTATTGAAGCTACGCTCAGTTCACGTCAATCGGCTAATCTTATCCAGGTTTACTGGCCCCTTGTATTTTAAGTTAAACTCTGACCATCTATATAACTAACTAAATATGATTTATATGCTAAAATAAGTATTTATACAGTTGAATTCATATTTGAAAGAGGATTCTTCTCATATATTTTTTGTGGCATATAGCTTACATTTCAAAATTATTGACTCTAACTACGAGTCCAATAATCCCTCAGTTGCAGATAATAGGAGCATTCATGCAACGGAAAATAGTTTTCTCGCCGACCGTTTTTATATGATCCAGGTGTAAAATGCAGTAAATGCGTCTACCGGCCCTTCCTGGCATGGTGGTCGGTCGCGAAGTGCCGAGCCGCGCTTGGAGCGCGGAGAGGTGGCTCGCATGGTGTCTGTGGAGCGTGTCGAGTCAGGCGGGAGGTGGCTCACCGGCCGGTCGCGGGCGGCAGCGTGAGGCGCAAGGTTTTTATCACGCGCTACTTCAGAACCTAGAACCCCAATTCGTTCCTAGTAGTAGAGTAACCCTTCCTTCCCGATGATCTCGTCGTAAGACGAGGCCAGCAAGTCTTGGAAAGACGTCGCCCCGAATGCGTGAGCAGCGCAAGGATCGTCAAGTTCAACGACCATGCTGCTCCCGCGAGACTCCGGCAAGAATTCTTTGTCATCCACGGGCGACGTAGCGGTGCTGACGCCGGCAGAACTTGCACCAGCCGTCGGTGTCGATGACAACGACGACGACGATGGCGACCTCACGTCCCCGGTCGTGGGCTGCTGCTGGATGAGCCCCATGAGCTCGGCGTACAGCTCCTCCGATCTGTGGGTGAGCTCTCCGCCGTCGTCAACCGTGGCGAGGGCGAGGGCGGGCTCGTCGAGAGGAGGAGGGAGGAGGGGGGATTCATCGGCGTCGGAGGCGGAAGAGCTGTCCGTGGCCGCGGTAGGAGGAGTTGGTGACGGCGCCATGGCCAGCAGGTGCCTCTTCTTGAGCTTGGTGTTCCAGTGGTTCTTGACGTCGTTGTCCGTTCGGCCGGGGAGCTTGGCGGCGATCACGGACCACCTGATGACATGAGTTCAGCTGCCAGAGCCAGACTAATGTTTACGAGTAACAAAGAGATGCATGCAGCGCATGCAGCTAGCTAGCTATATATACTTGCTTCCGATGTCGCCGTAGAGGGACAGAATGAGGCTGTCCTCCTCGTCGGTGAAGCGGCCGTGCCGGAGCGCCGGGCGGAGGTAGTTGAGCCACCGTAGGCGGCAGCTCTTGCCGCAGCGGTTAAGCCCTGATGATCCATGCAGGCATACACAAACCAAATGATTAATCACAAAGGGAAGATGATGTAATTTCTGTTATGTTTGAAGTGCTTTGTACTTATGTGAACTTTTATAATACATCCAAATCACTTTCAGACAAAAAAAAAAATCATCCATGCCAATCCAGGCTGTGAGCAAACATTCTCATGATGTCAGGATACGCTTAATTAAATTCAAATGAAAATTTCTGTCCTTTGGCTGAAATGAAAACCTAAATGACCAAATTTCAGTGAAATTCGGTGATTTAGCGTAATCGCTGAAATATTTCTCAGACTGAAATTCAAAACCGTCTGCAGACACAAGCACAAATCAATAGTAGGAGCGGTCAGAGCAAATTAACGACCTGCTTTGTGTGGTAGCGTCATCCAGTTGCCGGCATTGGCGAACCTCTTGACGAAGCCGGTGAGGATGGCGTCCTCCTCCCGCGACCATGCCCCCCGCTTCACGCTCCGCCTGTCGCAGCACGACGACCTCCCCATCCCCTCCCCGGAGGAGGCACACCGGCACAATGCACGGACCAGCTGAGGTGAGAGTTTCAGGTCGTCTCCGTGTGTCTTCTCCCGGCCGGCAAGGAAATGAACGGGCTATATATATATATAGACACGATCGATTGAGAACCAACGGCCCTGCTGCACCGAGCAAGTTGACCAAGCATATTTTGTATAAGTATATATATGACCCTGGAATGCACAAGACTAATTAACAATCATCCCAAGCTAGGCTTTCATTCACATCCATCGATTAATCATGTTTATACAAAAAATGTACAGGAAGCGTCGCTTCTTGCCGATGCGCAGGAGGCACAACACATGCTTGCTCACACTTGACAATTTGCATTTAAAACTAGATTGAACTTGACGTGTATGTTGCTTATGGTCATCAGCTACATGAACATCATTCCATTCCCTCTAGTTAACAGGCAAGTCCATAACACCATTTTCTTTTTGTACTTCAGTACTGGAGTTTGATACTCGAACTTTAATAAATATATGACTGTGTGCATCGCATGATGCACAAGACATATCCTTCTTTTCCAAAATAATAATAATAATAATAGGTCCATACCACACTTTCGTGGATGGTGGTGTGTCCATACTTTAGTATGTGGGTGATAGCACCATTTTCATCGAACATGACATGGAGAAGGCAATTCATATGAAGTTACCTTTTCGAACAACTTTCTGACCTCAAGATTAATTCATAAGAGCAAACTCTGTTGCTTTGGCAAAGGCCAAAGAGGTTGAGGACCAGTATAAGCAACTTTTTGGTTGCGGGTCTGGCTCGTCTCTTTCCAGTATCTTGGTATCCCCATCCATCATCTTAAGCTGCTGAATAAGGAGTGGAAGAGTATTGAGGTCCTCTTTGAGAAAAAGCTAAGCAGCTGGATGTGCAATCTACTATCTTACACAGGTTGTCTTGTCATCATTTACATTGTCCACACTAGCCTACCGATGTTTATGTTATCCTTTTTCAAAATACCCAAGGGGTACAAGAAGTTTAGATTAAAATTATAGATCCTGCTTATTTTGACAATGTGATGAACATAAAAAGAAATATTGACTAGCTAACTAGGGTCTTATTTGTAGGCCAAAGGATCATGATGGCCTCGGAGTTGAGGGCGTTAAACTAAAAAAATATGTGTTTACTTAGTACATCCATATCTATACCTCTATTATCTATAATCTATAATCTATAGCAATATAAAAAGACCTAAATGGGCAGATCCAATTAATCTCGGCCATCAAATCATGTCACTCCAACGATCTAGATTGCTTCAATGTCGAGCGCTCGACATGTTTAACATGCAGTTAATTTCATGCCAAATATAGTGCTAATCACATAATAACACACAAAAAATATCCTACTTAATATCCGCATGCACTTAATATACTTTCAAATTAACGTGCATTGCATGTTTTTTAAACACAATATAGACGCAAGCGCTCATTCAAATTAATGTGCATTGCATGTACACAATGACTAGTGAATATAAAAAAGAAGTGATTTGCGGAGATTTAACACATCTCACCCGTTCACGCATCTATCCAATGGTCTATGTTGCTCCGGTGTTTGGCGCTAAACATGTTTCATGTGTAATTAGTATCATACCTAATATAAACTTTACTGCTAACCATGTAATTCTACCTTCCCTAATATCAATGTGCAATCAATATATTTCCCAATGTTAACGTGCAATGCAATTAATATATTTTATAATATAATATGGTAATTATATTCTACCTAATATCAGCCTGCAATCAATATCTTTTTAATAAAGACGACATTAGCCCATAATTGCAATTGAAGATATTTTGTTAAAGCATGTTTGTAGACACTCGTGAAAATGGAGGAACATCAATGTAAGTCCTCGTTGATTGGTCAATGTGAAATTGAGTCAAATATCGATCATCCACGGTGAGTATTTGACTTGTACTATTCATGAGCCAAAGATGAGGCGCATGGCTCTACACAGGTATGATATATTTGATGTATGTGATGTGGTGTTGTTTATTCTGCTCATCAAATATTATTTGTACCATGTTAGTTTCAGGCATCCATGTATGTTTGCCATAAGAATAACTCTGCTAAGGATCATCAAAAAGACTATCACATTTATTGCCCAAAACATTAAGAACAGAAAACAGCTACACTTAGTGCAAGTTAAGTTTTTTAAACAATGGCAAAAGTTTTGCTAGATTTGATTATTTAAGAAACAAGAGTGTGTAGGAAAAGGCCAAAGCCTTAAAACAGGTGGAGTACTCTTCAGGTATTAGAACCCCCAGGGGTTTCACACTCGCCATATTCCACAACATCGCCACTCTTTTGATGTTGGAGAAAATACTTGACGGCATGGTTGAGATATTCTCACACACTAGCGTTATGTTCATTCCAAATCGTCCAAGAGACAATCATGAAAAGCGAAACCGTGTCCTTTTAATTGGTAAGTTAAGAGAAGGGAGACAAATTAAAATATGGCTCCTTTCATGTATGTCGGTATCCATGGCATGACTAGCTCAGCCGATTATAGTTGCTTAATAATGCAATAAATTATGGGTGAAACTTTTCTCACCAATTAAAGGATGTTGATTTGTTTAAAGCCTAGAATCCACAGCTTTGAAGACACACAGCGACCACAACAAAATGTGTTATACAATGGATTATCTCTCGGTGTTTGAACATATATCTCTATAAAACTACGTGGGCGGTAGAATTTTCTTGTAAACAGTAAAAGTAATCCCTTGGTCACGATAATGTGGACCTTTTCATCCAGGTATCGTTGGCGCTCGATTCTTTACAGCAACTTGATTTCGAAATAAAACAGATCCATGTAATAGTTGGAAAAATAAACCTTCAGGTTTCAGCTGATGTGATAACGTCTACATTACACTACATCGACTCTTCTTGCCTAAGTAATAGTGTTAACTTTAATAAGAAAAACGGCGCTGGTCTACGCAGCCTCACATGCATTTGAACTGTCAAGTTTGAAAAGATGGCATGATTTGAGCCTCCGGTTGTAAAGGCCGTTATCAGGTTGTTCTATAATGTAACATTATAACCTAGTGTATATGAGACAATCAACACGTACGTCATCCATGGACCTTTAAATGGCCAGTTTGTGCAACTAATGTCCGTTTCGAATACTCAACTAAACTGTTTCTTTTGTATGGCAGATCATGATGTTTCAGACAAGAGCGTGGTTGGGAGGAATGATGTACGAGGATTACTTGGCGCCTTGATGTTGATTGATAACCTGACCGGACAGTGCAAAAGAATGGGTGTTGTGTGTAGTAACATATGTAGCGGGCTTTGACGGCTTATACTGACTTAGATTTTGTTTAACACTACTTACGAATAGCATTGCTCTTCTGGAGAAAAGGGGTAGACCCACGCAGCCAGAAGGCTGAAAAATGTGAAACACGCTGAATTATATGAGGACAAGTAATCATACATCACAGGCACCAAGATTTGTTAACAATAAATAGTTTTCCAAATGTATGACAAACACTTTTCAAATATGTGATGATCATTTTTTTTCAATTTTTCGTAATACAATGTTTTTTTAATATATTTAAACTTTTTTAACAATATTTTCATGAGCATATTCTCGGATTTCTTTTCTGTGTTGTTGATAACTTTTTTAAACCTTTTAATACATTTTTATGAGAGAAAAATATGAGACTTGCTAAACGGGCCACTCCACTTTTGGTCCATGTAGGCTTTGCCGTCGTGCCGCCCTGGTCTGACCCACATTGTTCACGGTACCCCAGCCACCAGATAGGTCAAATTTAGGCCATGTATACCCGGGTTTCTTTTTACGAAGTGCCAGGATTTAAAGTGTCTGACCCAGAAAAAAAAAGTGTCTGACCCAGACCACACAACTTCAAAAGAAAATAAAAATTACAAATAGGTTATTAGAGAGGTAAACGGCATCTTCCTCATGTATATGTCGTCGGCGCGCCATACTCCAATGTCGCAAACCCAGCCAGACTTTGAATCTACGATGGAACCAGAAATTGGCGGGCTACGCAAGAAGACGACGGTGGCCAACATCTAAAGATCATATCGTCGCAACGGAGAGGAGGATGAGGAAAGGATCGTCTGTGACTGTGAGCTAGTTCTGGACACAGAGGAAATTGCTTTAACCGTGTGGGCTTTAGCTACAAACTTCATTATTGACTGTGACCCAAAAGTGACATTGAAGGGAGGAGGATGGTACAACAATATTCGACGATTGCTATCACTTGTCACAAGAAACCAGTCGTATTACTTTTGATTACTGTCCTAGAGAACCCTGTATGTGACGAGTTTTTTTTTTTTGGAAGTGTTGTGTACTATGTGATGAGTGGATCGAAGAGGCTCCTATTGACTGGTTTCTTGTGTAATATTAGATTTAAGCCTGATCAAAAGCTACTAAAGAGGACGTTTATTGGCAAAACAAAGACACAACAACTCGAAACAGTTTCTTCAGTTTGCATAAAAAAAATGCAATAAACTTTAGTAGGTAAACTGTATTAACAAGTAGCATATGTATGAACAAAAGTGCCCAAATCAAAAAATTGTGACAAAAGGATAAAAAAATATGCACCAGCCGGGAATCGAACCCGGGTCTGTACCGTGGCAGGGTACTATTCTACCACTAGACCACTGGTGCTCTGGTGTGCAATATCTTTGAGAACGCTAAACATTTCATGGCTAGAAATCCTTTGGAGAGAAACACTTTGATGAGTCGATTTACATCCGTCAGCACATTCAGCTGCCAAAAGGAACAAAAGGATCCTAAACCAAATTAATGAGCAAGAAAATCCTTGGTTCTGCCCATGATTCAACAGATAGCTGGTTGATGATGCCTTTGAACCGACGAATCACGGATGGATTCTCCAGCAGAAACGAGGAAGTGATGATAGTCCTGCAGTATCTGTTTTTTTTTATTATAGTCCTTGGATATGTAATAAGTTCTTTTCGCTTTTTGTTGGTAGTT